AAAACACAAAAAAAGGGATAATTGAAGTTGAAGCAGCTCAGAAAACGTTGATCTGTAGCTTAAACAAGCAAAATTCAGCCATTTTGTGTTCATTAAAACACAAAAAAAGGGATAATTGAAGTTGAAGCAGCTCAGAAAACGCTGATCTGTAGCTTAAACGAGCAAAATTCAGCCATTTTGTGTCAATTAAAACACAAAAAAAGGGATAATTAAGGTGTATCATGAGTCTGGAACATTCACTGAGTGTCTCCGTCCATTTTTTGTTGGTAGAAGTCGACGTTTTAAGAGTTGGACCAGAGAATCACAGCTTCCGTTGTCTGGGTTTGGTTTTTGTTCCTGAATCTGTGGGTTTTGTTCATGTGACCTGAGGCTGTCCACATCCGAGCATGTTAACCAGTTTTAGTGGTTAAACCTCCCACCAACCGGGTCACACATCAGAAACCTTCAGGTTAGGGCTGTTCAGGAAACTGGTTTTATTCAGTAAGCCGTCACATTTCCACCAAGAGTCCAGACCAACCTCAAATAAACCAAATTAAACTAGAGTAAACTAAATAAACCAAATCAAATGAATCCAAATGAATCCAAACTAAACTAGAGTAAACCAAACCAAAGTTAATCAAACTAAACTTACTTAAATTTCCGTTATCAAAACTAAACCAAACCAAATGAATCCAAACTAGACTAATCTAAACCAAAGGTAGTCAAACTAAACTCAATCTAATTACTGTAATCAAAACTAAACCAAGCCAAACTAAACCAAAATAATCCAAACTAAACCAAATAAACCAAACTAAACCAAACCAAATGAATCCAAACTAAACCAAATAAACCGAACTAAACTAAACCAAATGAATTCAAACTAAAGTAGACTAAAATAAACCAAATTAATCCAAACTAGACAAATCTAAACCAAAGGTAATCAAACTAAACTCAATATAATTACTGTAATAATCAAAACTAAACCAAGCCAAACTAAACCAAATGAATCCAAACTAAAACAAATAAACGAAACTAAACTAGAGTAGACCAAACCAAATAAACCAAAGTAAACCAAACCAAATGAATACAAACTAAACTAGACTAAACTAAACCAAATTAATCCAAACTAAACCAAGTAAACCAAACTAAACCACAGTTAATTAAACTAAACCTACTTAAACTTACTTAAATTTCCGTAATCAAAACTAAACCAAACCAACCTAAACTAAACCAAACCAAACCAAACCCAACAACACTAAACTAAACCTCATTAATCAAAGCTAAACCAAACCAACCTAAACTAAGTCAAATTGGACTAAACCAACCCAAACTGAACCAAAACTAATCCAAACCAACCCAAACTAGACTAAACCAAATGAAAAGTAAATTAGAAAAAAGTACAGTACAGTAAATCAAGCCAATCCTAACATTAATCTAAACCTAATTAATCAAAACTAAACTAAACCAAACCAAACTAGAATAAAAACTAATTGGAAAATCTGAATAGAACGTTCAATCTTTTTAATCACAGATGACTAAAAACAATAACTAAATTCTCCATTTTATTTTTCCTTTGGCAGGAAACTGAGCAGACTTTTAAACAGACTTTTTGTTCTTACACATATTTTGTTTTTTTCTGGCCCTTTTCTCGAAGGCCAGTTTACTTCCACTCGACAGTTTTAATGGATATAGAATCAGCTCCGTTCAGCCTTTTGTCTCCAATCAGAACCATGACTCAGCTCAAAATCTCCACTCAGCTAAAAAAAAAAACGGAGGCTCAACGGGCCGTTTGTGAGCTCAATTTACTGAGAAATGTTTGGAATTTATAAGATTAACTCATAAAAATGAACCGGAGGACGCCCAAAACGCAGCTAAAAAACGGCTTGTTTCAGGTTTTAAACATAGAAAAGCAGGTCAGCAAAGCAAAGATCCGCCTGATTTTTAAATATTTTTAACCAGTTCAGGGCAAAAGGTGTTAAGTTAAGTGGATTGTCAAAGAAAAACTGTACTGAAAATGAGAGAAAAAGTAAAAAAATATCCAAACAAAAAGCTTTGAGG